CCCTGAATCTGAACCTGAATCTAAATATAATCAATATAATATTATATAGATAGCGCGATGCAATCCGCCCCTATCCTCGCTTTAGGCTCGGGGGGCTGATGCATCGCTAGCAATATACCCTTATTCCCTTAATAGTTGAAATATTGAAGCTATTCAGAGTTTTGAGAAGGTGGTCTGTACATCGGGCTTTTTTTAATCCTGATTAGTAATGAAGAGATCCAATCAGAATCATGTTTATCGAAATTCCAGTATTTTTCAACTTATAACTTTTCAGAATACTTCAATAATTACTTATTCAACGAATATTAATCATATAAATACAAAAGATTTATTGTTAAAAATCTTACAATTGAGAGAACAGAATGTACTAATTTAACAATGTCCTATTTGTGAACATATTTAAATATGTTGACAAAACCTCTTTTCTTCAGTTTGATGTTCCCGCACAGACCTTACGTATTTTTGAATGGCCAATCAAATTAAAGGCGTGTTTTAAAATATGTATGTTAGTGATATAAAATATATATATTAGTGATATCATATCCCAAAGTCAACTAATGAATCATCATTCATTCATCCATCCATTCATTCATTCATTCAGATATGTATTTAATCATAATTTATTTATCATCTGCTATGCTATCCATTCAATTCATCAGAGATGCACAATCATCCTTCATCCTTAAGATAACCTTACCTGCTACCAAAAAACTACCTAGTATCTTCATCCCATTTTCATCATTTTCACAAATTCAACAACATTTTCCATTCATCTCCATTACCACATCCCTCCACACCACTTCACCCTATCCCATCCCTCTATCCCATCATATATCTTCTTCCATATCACCCTAGATATTAGACTTCTTCTTAAAAGCCGCAATCAACCCACCAGTACTACCATCATGTTCTCCAACATTCCCAGAAACATCCAACTCCTCTTGAATTTTCTTAGCCAAACTCTTACCCAATTCCACACCCCATTGATCAAAACTGTTAATGTTCCAAACAGCTCCTTCTGTGAATGTAAGATGTTCATAGTAAACAATCAAAGCACCAAGAGTTCCTGGAGTGATTTTCTGGGCGAGAATTGATGTAGTTGGTCTGTTACCTAAGAATGTCTTGTGTTTGTATAATTCAGCTGGTGTGTTTTCGGCCTTTAATTCTTCTTCTCCTTTTCCAATCATGAGAGCCTCAGCTTGAGCGAAGAAGTTTGATGCCAACATCTTTTGATGTTTGTTATTATCGATTGGGTTGTGTGATTCGGCAGCCATGATGAAATCGGTTGGGATCAATTTTGTACCTTGGTGAACAAGTTGGAAAAAAGAGTGTTGAGCATTGGTAGCTGGTTCACCGAAAAGAATTGGACCAGTTGTGTAACGAACAATCTTTCCATCACGGGAGGTGGCTTTACCATTAGATTCCATGGAAAGTTGTTGGAGGTAAGCGGGGAATCGGTGAAGGTATTGATCGAATCTATATCATCCATTAGCTTTGTTCCAAGAGACTTAGGCAAGATAAAAACTTACGGAGCAACCAAATGAGTTTGAGCACCATAGAAATCAGAATACCAAACACTTAAAAGACCAGCAAGAACTGGAATATTCTCCTCGAGTGGAGTATTCTTGAAATGCATATCCATAGCATGAGCTCCAGATAACAATTCATGAAAGTTCTTGAATCCAATGTGAATAGCCACACTCAAACCAATTGCACTCCAAACACTGTATCTACCTCCTACCCAATTTTCGAATCCGAACATATTCTTAGCATCAATACCAAACTTGGTAACTTCGGATTCATTGGTAGAGAGAGCAACAAAGTGCTTAGCAATATCACCCTTTCCATCAGTCTTCTTCAAGAACCAATCTTTAGCAGAATTGGCATTGGTGACAGTCTCTGCCGTGGTGAAAGTCTTGGAAGCGACCAAGAAGAGGGTAGTTTCAGGATCAGAATTTCTCACTGCCTCAGCCATATGTGTACCGTCGATATTCGAAACGAAATGAAGGGTTTGATCTCTCGCACCATAGAACTTGAGAGCTTCAGTAACCATAACTGGACCACTACAATCAATTAGCCAATATTCAAGTGGTGACAGAACCAGTCCCAGTGATGACGGCTTAAAACTTACAGATCCGAACCACCAATACCAATGTTGATAATGGTAGTCAATGGCTTTCCAGTAAAACCCTTCCACTCTCCACTTCTGATCTGTTCGGAAAACTCCTCCATATGCTTCAACTCCTTATTGACACCTGGCATAACATCTTGACCATCCACCTTGATAGGTTCACTTGTAACATTTCTCAAGGCGACATGAAGAACGGCACGATCCTCAGTGAAGTTGATCTTCTCACCCGCAAACATATCATCGCGCAATTTCTCCAATCCAGCCTCTTTCGCAACGGCCACCAATGCCTTGATGGTATCTTCATTGATCAAATTCTTGGAGAAATCAAAGAGAATCTCGGAATTATCGGCAGGGTTCTTGAATGTCTTGGAGAATTTGTCGAATCGTTGGGGATCCTTTTTGAATTCTTCTTTGAGAACAAAGTTTCGTCCAACCGAATCATGATGTGATTGGAGAGCACTCCAAGATTTGAGTTCTGTAGCTTGAGGCATTTTGTAGGGATTTGTTAGAATAGGAGTGTTGATTTATTCGAGTTGTTGAATGTGAGATGAGATCAAGGAAGGACTATATAAAGAAGATGTTAGAATGAACCAGAAGCAGTGAAAGATATAAGATTATCTAAGGAATTTGAAGTGATCGGGTTTTCAATAATCTCTTCAACAGTAGTATAAAGTAGGATAACAGTAGTTGTAGCAGTAGTTCAACAATAGTCTCCAAGCCATCTCCAAGCCATCTCCAACTCCAACTCCAACTTCCAACAATCAAAAAGAGACAACAAAAACATACCTTTCTTTCTTGATATTCCTTTACAGACTTGAGGTTCACCAAAGTATCAAATCAAGATTCCTAATATCTCCGAAGTTTGCGAAAGAAGGCTGAGAATAGATTTTATTATTATCAGTTATTTGTTGATGATTGATAATTAACAAACAAGTAATGATATTGAAAGAAAGAATTGTGGTCTGTCTGTCTAGATCGGAAGCTCCCCTCTCTCTCTAGGTACTCTGGAAACTTCGGTGTGCCGGTATAGGTGAAGTGGGATGGGATTGAAGTTGGGTGAAGTGAAGTGGGGTAAAAGCTGTGGTAGGACACAACACATACAACACCAAAGCATCTAGATCCCATCCATTTCTTGTATTTAATTTAATTTAATTTAATTCAACTCAACTCTTTTAATATTCATATAATAGATATAAATAATCCTATACGTATCTCCTCCTCTTCAACATCTCAACAATATCTAGAATTTATATCAAAGGTCTTCATTGCTTATACTCGTAGTTGTTAAATATAGATAATATTTTAGCACCAGTATGTATTACATATATACAAAATAGAGGGGTCAATACAAAGTCTCAAGAACCCAACCCAACCCAGCCAGCCCAGCCCAGCCTAACCTGGTCCGAAAAAGGACCCGAGTATAGGTAGGTAGGTAGGTAGGTAGGTAATACCGCAATTCTATTTCTGACCCCCCTCAAATTACTCGAGTACTTCCGAATTCCCAATCCCGATCAATTCCACTTCCCGACTACTGTGGCTATTCACTTCACTACTCTACTCACTAATTACTTACTACTCAATACTCACTACTCACTAATCACTTACTACTTGAACATCTCTCCTCTCGTCCTCCAAATCTCATCACCTTCTCTCTCTCCTCTCTCTTCTTTTCTACTTAAATACTCTAAATCTCATTATTTAATAAATAAATAATAAATAATCCGAGAGAAAAGTTCAAGTTCTAAAAGTATTAAAAGTATCTATTAATATTATTAGTATTATTCAATAATATAATAATATAATATAATACTCGTATATTATAAATAAACCTAAGATAACTATCTAAGATTTATACTTCAAAAATAAATTACAAGTATATTTATTTTCTACTCGTATAAGTAATAAGGAATAAGATAAGATTATATACTATTACTATTACTCGAGTATATAAAATATCCATCTATATCTACTCTCTCTCTCTCTATTCACCTCACCTGTCTCCCTCTATACCCTCCCTCTCTACTCACCTACCCTCTCTATCCATCCCCTCCTCCAACCCCATTCCCATCTCCCCATCTCCCCATCTCCTCATCTCTCT